CCCCCAGGGAGGATGGCCATGCCGCAATCCCTTCTCCTCCATTCTCCTCTCGGGATCTTGGGCACGCACGCACACGCTCTCAGCGTGAGTTTAAGCCACCGGGTCCGGGATTCGAACTGCGGTCCACTACATGGGAGTCCAGCAACATAGCCATTACACCAACTGCTGGTCCGCCTTATTTGTTTTTGTGATTTTTGACTATGAGCCTGCATTTTTAAAGTTTATTTATGGGGCTAGCGGATGATGTGGTGGTTGAGGCTCTGGACTCCCACCTGGCTGACAACAGTTCGAGTCCTGGACCTGGTGGCTTGCTTTCTCACTTTCTCTCTGTCTCTCTCTGGTGAGCACACATGCCCTGTAGCAAAATGAAAATAATAATTATGATAAATAAAATTAAGTAACTAATTCTTTAAAAATGTATCTTTAAAATTTATTTATTTCTTCCACAAGAAAGACAGAGAGAAACTTAGTGAGACAGAGACAGGCACCCCCACGGGGTCTTTACACCACAGTCACCCCCAGTCTCAGCCGGCCTGGACCACAGGCTTGTGATCAATACGCTCAGGGAGGTCCTGGGACACGAACCCAGGACCTTTCTTGTGTCACTGCTGCATCACCGCCTGGGCCCAAGACTGCCTTGAATATGACTTTATCTGCGAATTCACTGAGGCCTGACTCGAAGAGTGATTTTTTTTTTTTTTGAGACGTTTTTGCTATAGGGCGCATGCGCTTGCCAGACAGAGACAGACAGAGAGACAGAAAGCGAGAAATCACCCCCCAGGGGGGATGGTCACACCGCAATCCCTTCTCCTCCATTCTCCTCTCGGGATCTTGGGCACGCACGCACATGCGCCCTGCATGAGTTCTAAGCCACCGGGTCCGGGATGTGAACCGCGGTTGACTATGTGAGAATCCAGCGACATAGCCATGACGCTAACTACTGGTTCCCGAAGAGTGATTTTTTTTTTTTTAAGAGCGATTTTTGCTATAGGGCTCGTGTGCTCACCAGGAGACAGAAAGTGAAAAATCACCCCCTGGGGCATGACCACGCCACAATCCCTTCTCCTCCATTCTCCTCTCGGGATCTTGGGCACGTACGCACACGCACCCAGCGCGAGTTTTAAGCAGCTAGGTCTGGGATTCAAACCACTTTCAGCTACATGGGAGTCCAGCGACATAACCATGATGCCATCTGCTGGTGCCGAAGGCACATCCCTTCCGAGGAGGTGGGCCATGGTATAAATTCGGGCTGAAACATCAGGGCAGGCAGCTTCCTGGCACAGATGCATGCAGGTTTCCTTCTGGGGCAGCTTGACACTGAGCGTGTGGCCTGTGGGTTCCCACGTGCCCTGGGCTTCTCCTGTGACCACGCCAATGGCCGTCAGGAGAGGAAAGGGCTCCGTGACCAGGTGCAGAGCCATGTGACCCTGAGGGCAGGGCAGGGCAGGGCAGGGGCAAGGCTGACCTGTGGGGAGCGCCCAATGATGGGAACCCCCAGCAGCCTGAGAATGCCTTGGTAGGGCCTGTGATCTTGGGGTGCTAGCCACTCCCCCACCCTGAGTGTCTGCATCAAATCACCTGGTTCTGGGTGTGGGCTGTGGGCAGGTCTGTACCAGTGGGGTGTTGACGTACCCGCTCTGCCTCCCTCATGGGGGTGTCCTTGGGTCCCCGTGCTGTTATGGTTGCCTGAGGCATGAGCGAGGGGTGCACCCAGCCCCCTCCACCTTGCCCCTCGCTGCCGTGCCACGTCCCCGGGGGGACACCGTCACTGTCCGTCTGTGTGCCACCCCGAGGGCCCGCGGGCTCCTTCAAGGGCATTTGCAACATCACTGCAAGGCTGTCAGAGTTAGGCAAACCGTGTCAGACCGTCTTTCTGTAGAACTTTTAAAAGGCTGCGTCTCGGTCTGACATCTCGGAGAGCGGGCGGAGTCTGTGCTCTCTGGTTGGGTTTCCGCGTCCCTTTGCCCTCCAGGAGGAGGCACCACGGCGGGCCAGGGCGCCAAGTGGCCAGTAGTGCAGGCAGCCTTGTGCAACGCCGCGGCCTCCGCGCCAGCCGCCCTGCCGGGGGAGATAGCAGAGAGCCAGGATTCGCAATTAGATTCATAAAGAATAATTAGATGTCATAAATCAAGCACTCATGGGATATTGTCATGGGAAAACTATGTAGCTAGAATTAATTAGTTTTCAAATAAAGCGTTGATTTTAATTGCTGGAAATGATGGAGCCCTTAATTGCCGGTGCATCATTTTGGCCCGAGCGCTCAGGGGGTTGTAACGTGACGGGCTTGTTCCCTGCAGTTCTGGGGAAACAATAGAAGAGACCGCGATTTCGTCACTCCGGAGCGAGCCTGCTGCCGAGGTCCTGGAAACTCCTACCTCGCTGCAGGCATGGGGCAAGTGTGGACCGGGCTTTGGCTGACTCGGCCTGAGGCCTCCGCGCAGCCTCCGTGTGTGCACGTGTGTGTGCATGGCCAATGCAGGTGATGCACAGTGGGTGAGCGTGTGTCTGTAAAGTCTCTGTGTCCGTATGCATGTGAGTACGTGCCCAGGGTGAGATAGACATGTAGGAACGCCAGTGTGTGTGTGTAGGCATGAATATGTACACGTGTACTCATATGTGTGAGTGTGATCGGGAGCCTGTATGCATGCACGTCCCCAGTGTGTGCATATGAGCCAGGTGCATACGTGTGTACACATGGATCTGTGTGCATGTGTGCCCAAACTATACATGCATGCACATACGTGTGTTGGTGTCTGCGTGTGTACGGGTGACGGTGTGCATGTGTATATATGCATGTATGAGTGCATGCAAGCGTAGCCGTGCATGTATTTTTGCAAGTGTGTCCTGTGTGTGTTTTCCACACGTGCATGTGTGTGTGCTTATGTGTGCATGTGGGCGTGAGTGCAGTGTGTTCCATGACTGGCCTGCACGGAGCTGGTCTGGCAGAGCATTGCCTGATTGCAGGGCGGGAGGGACCCCCCATGCTAGTCCGGTGCCCTCCTGCTGGGTTGAGGTGTTTAGCTGGGTCTGCATTCTCAGGCGTCCCCTAGAGCTGGGCCCTGTGGCCCTGGACCCGTCACCGAAGTGCCTTTCTTACCTCACAGGCACGGCACAGGCCAGCCAGGCCAGCTGCTCGCCTGTCCCTGGGGTCCTGGGAGCAGGGTGGGCCGGGTTCTTCTGCCTCCCGCCACCTTTGCATCTGGGGAGGGCCAGGTGGCTTTTAGCCAACAGTGAGAAAAGCTATTAGGTGGAAAACACCCCCTCCCGCCAACCCACAAAGAGAAAATAGGACTTGGCAGTTTGTAAAGCGCATTCCTGGGGACCTCCTCCTCCTCTTTGAAGCCCCTTGAGAGGGACCGGGTCAAGTGGTAAAGTGGCCGGTAGAGTGGCCACACCCGCAGTCTGTTGAGAGGAGGGGGATCCTGCTCTGGAGTAAGAACTGGGGCCCCTTCTTTCACTGCACGAACCTCGCGCGGCTTCCCACCCTCCCAGCCCTTCCCGCTCAGGCCTCCACCACCGCCCACCGTGCATGCTCTGGGTGCGGAGCCCACTGGCCTGCGAGGTCCCAGTGGACGTGACAGGGTGTTTCTTAGAGGTTTTGGACATGTTCTTCCCATCCACTGCTCCTGCCTCTCCTGCAGAGTGGGGAGGTGTAGGAGGGCATGCGTGGGCAGTGTCAGGGCGTGGTGGCAGAGGGCACGGCTGCAGGGGGGCCCCCGCGGGGAACTCCTGCCTCTCCTGCTGCTGCACCTGCTCCTGTGTTGTGGCCTCAGCCTGGGAAGCCCTCTCCCGACTCCCTGCAGGGCGCTCTCCTGGAAGAATCCTCCCATCTCCCTCCCTCCTGTTCTCTTGCTCAGCCTTGCCCTTAGTGTGCTGCACCAGCGGCTCTGGGGCTCTTCAGGCCTGCCCATTCCCTGCCTCAGTTTCCCCAAGAGTGGCTGTGACCGTTCGGACCCAGCGGGGCTGTTGTCTGCCAATGTGAGAAGGGGCACCTCTCCTCTGGCCTCCCTGGGCCCCACACGTGCCCCCTCTCCCATCCAGCAGGGGCCAGCTCCCTCCTTGGGCAGAGGTGGGGGCACATCCTGGCACTTTGTCACTGTACCATGGGGGACAGGCAGAGGGCTCCAGGAGGGAGCAGCTTTGCCAGGAGTTCGCAGAGGGGACACAAGCGAGGCCTGCTCAGGGCTGCTCTCCCATCATGCAGGGGGCCAGAGCTGGACGGCGCTGCTGTGGCCGGGGACCCAATGAGCTGGGTGTACACCGCGTGGGTGCAAAGTTTGATGGGCAGAGGACGAGTTGGTGTCCAGGGAGGGTGTGCTCTTGCAGGGCCCCATTGCTGCACGGGCTGCTCCAGAGCCATTCAGCCTCTTTTGGGGAGCAAGGAGCCTCCTTCCGCTAGAAGCAAAGGGAGGGCCAGGGGCACCGAGCAGGGACAGTGTCTCCAACACCCCGTGCCAGCCTGCCTTCCCAGAGCAGAACGAGGCCACTGTCACTCACGTGACCTGCCTCTGTCCTCAGGTGACCGTGTCTCGCCCAGCATGGCAGTCCCCCTGCCTCAGCCCCCACCGCCGCCAGACCCCCAGTTTGTCCTGCGAGGCACTCAGTCGGCGGTGCACGCGCTGCACTTCTGCGAAGAAGCCCAGGATCAGCGGCACCCGCTTCTCTTCTCGGGGTGAGTAGCTGCTGCCTGGACCAGACCCCCGGATCCAGCCCACGGTGAAGTCGGAGTCGTGGGCTAGGGAGGGGCCGGGCACTGGGTTGGGACCGCCTGTCGCCTAGGCCTGCTGTTTCAGCGCTGCTGGACAGCTGTGTCCGGTGGGCTCCCTTTGGAGGAGGCGGAGGCACCTCCTCCAGCCCCCTGGGCCTCCCCACCCTGTCCAGCAGGCACCTTCCGAGCAGGTGCCACGTGCCAGGGCCCGAGCCCACCTTCAGGAAGAGGAGCCCTCTCGGTTTTACCCCAGCTTGTATATCCAGAGCCCTCGACTTCTAGGTGCCAAACTCCAGCAGCTCAAATGCGGGTGGGCCCTGCCAGGCCGGTCCCCACACGAGCGCAGGGTATCGGCCCGACACCGGCACCCGCCCCCTGACGCCTGTGCATGGCGTGTCTGGCGCAGGTCTCAGCCCCGCCCCCTGCGTCTGTGTGTGGCGTGTCCGGCTCAGGTGTCAGCCCCGCCCCCTGACGTCTGTGCGTGGCATGTCTGGTGCAGGTGTCAGCCCCGCCCCCTGACGCCTGTGCGTGGTGTGTCTGGCGCAGGTCTCAGCGTGGCCTGGTGCACATCTGGAACCTACAGACACGGAGAACGGTCGCTGCCCTGGACGGCCACGGGGGCCAGTGTGTGACCTGGCTGCACACGCTGTCCCCGGGGCACCAGCTCCTCAGGTGGGTCCTGCCAGGGGAGCTAGAGCCCTGGATGTAGGTCCCTGGGCCCCTGGTGCCGTGTGCCGTGACTGTGCAGCCAGCCGTGGGGCCGACAGGGCTGGAACCGGCAGCAGGGCCTGGTGCACAGCACCATCGTACTGGGGTGTGCTCGCGCTGCAGAGGTGGGTGTGGGTGAGGCCGTCCCGCTAAGGGCCCCTTCTATGTCCAGCCTCCTGCCTCCAAGGTGCTGAGCACACACACAAATGTGTGCGTGTGGAAGTGTATATGTGTTTGAGTGTGTTGGGGAGGTGCAGGGGTTAGGGGAGTATAGGGGGCTGTGGGGAGTTGTAGGGGATGAGTGTGCGTGTGTGGGTAGATGGGGTGTACATATGTGTGTGTGATTACAGGTGTGAGTGTGTGGGGTTGTAGGGGTGAGTGTGTGTGACTGACAGTGTGAATGTGTGTGTGATTACAGGGGTGAGTATGTGTGGGTGTGGGATTGTAGGGGTGAGTGTGTGTGACTGTGAAGGTGTGAATGTGTGTGTGATTACAGGGGTGAGTGGGGGGGGTGTGGGGTTGTAGGGGTGAGTGTATGTGACTGTGAAGGTGTGTGATTACAGGTGTGAGTGTGTGGGGGGTGTGGGGTTGTAGGGGTGAGTGTGTGTGACTGTGAAGGCGTGAATGTGTGTGTGATTACAGGTGTGAGTGTGTGGGGGGTATGGGATTGTAGGGGTGAGTGTGTGTGACTGTGAAGGTGTGAATGTGTGTGTGATTACATGTGTGAGTGTGGGGGGTAGGGGATTGTAGGGGTGAGTGTGTGTGACTGTGAAGGCATGAATGTGTGTGTGATTACAGGTGTGAGTGTGTGGGGGGTATGGGATTGTAGGGGTGAGTGTGTGTGACTGTGAAGGTGTGAATGTGTGTGTGATTACATGTGTGAGTGTGGGGGGTAGGGGATTGTAGGGGTGAGTGTGTGTGACTGTGAAGGCATGAATGTGTGTGTGATTACATGTGTGAGTGTGTGGGGGGTATGGGATTGTAGGGGGGAGTGTGTGTGAGTGGGAAGGTGTGAATTTGTGTGTAATTACATGTGTGGGTGGGGGGGGTAGGGGATTGTAGGGGTGCGTGCGTGTGACTGTGAAGGCGTGAATGTGTGTGTGCTTACATGTGTGGGTGGGGGGGGTAGGGGATTGTAGGGGTGCGTGCGTGTGACTGTGAAGGCGTGAATGTGTGTGTGCTTACATGTGTGGGTGGGGGGGGTAGGGGATTGTAGGGGTGCGTGCGTGTGACTGTGAAGGCGTGAATGTGTGTGTGCTTACATGTGTGGGTGGGGGGGGTAGGGGATTGTAGGGGTGCGTGCGTGTGACTGTGAAGGCGTGAATGTGTGTGTGCTTACATGTGTGGGTGGGGGGGGTAGGGGATTGTAGGGGTGCGTGCGTGTGACTGTGAAGGTGTGAATGTGTGTGTGATTACAGGTGTGAGGGTGTAGGGTTGTAGGGTGAGCACATGTGTGTGGGTAGGTGGGGGTGTACATACGTGTGTGTGAATGTGTATGGGGTCGTAGGAGGTATGTGTGCGTAGTGGGGGGGCATGGATATGGGTGTGTGTTGTATTTTCTGTCCCCTGCAAATCCCACGGGTATCCCTTGGCCAGGCTGGCCCCAGTGGGAAGGGACACGGAAGTGGCCCATCCCCATCAGGGTGGCCCAGGTCTGTCCGGGGAAGCATGTCCCGGGGCTGCAGGGCCCTGCGGTGTTGTCTGGGCCTGTCGAGTCCCTGCGCCTGCAGCCTGGGGCTGCCTGTGGCTCCCAGCCCTGCCCAGGGAACTGTGTGGCAATCACCAGGGGTCTCCATGGCTCACCATAGCCGCCCTGCAGGTGGCCTTCCTGCCCAGAGTTCATCTTCCCGTGCAAACAGCTGGGCTGGTGACCAGGGTGGTGCCAGAGCCTAGCCCTAAGCTCGCCGGCGGGGCCCACCTGATGGGGACCCACCTCACCCACGGGTGGGTCATGAGCTCCAGCCGGGCAGCTGCAGGGGGAGCAGGAGCTGGCAACGGAGGTGAGAGGCCAGGTGCCAGCAAGGAGGGGGAGTGTGCCAGTGCCACAGAGCCCAGCTTGTGGGTGCCACGGGTCTGGGGGCTGGGCAGCCTGCAGGGCCCCTCGGCAGCGGGCAGCAGAGCGAGGAGCAGGCAGCCCCTGGCGTTTGGCCTGGGCCGCGTTCTGGCACTGCTCCTGCGGCCCCGTGCTGGTGACCGGGGCAGGGACCCCAGGCCAGACTCCCAGAGGGACAAGCCTGTTATGCAGTGCCTGGGTCACAAGGAGCCCAGTCTCCGGAGAACGAGGCCTGGCTGGCCCCCACCCTCCGCAGAGCCCGGTCATTCAGTGCCCTCCAGAAGGTGACCAGTGGTGGGCAGAGCGGCCGAGGCCTGTGGCTCCAGGCCTGTGTGCTTTTAGAGCCCCTCGGGGCCTCTCTTCCTTCCTTGCCCCCTAGGAGCAGAGGACCCTCCACGTGGGTTTGGTCTTGCTCTGGTTATCAAAGGGATGTCATTTCTTTTTTTTTTTTTTTCTTTTTTTGGAGAGGTTTTTGCTACAGGGCGTATGCGCTTGCCAGAGAGACAGAGAGAGACAGAGAGATAGAAAGCAAGAAATCACCCCCCAGGGGGGATAGCCACGCTACAATCCCTTTTCCTTCATTCTCTTCTCGGGATCTTGGGCACGCACGCACGGCGTGAGTTTAAGCCGTCGGATCCTGGACTCGGACCACGGTCGACTACATGGGAGTCCAGTGACATAACCATTACGCTAACTGCTGGTCCCAAAGTGATGTCATTTCTAAGCACTGACAGCCACTTACATTAGGAATAGACCATCAGATCTTCTGCTCCTCCAGGGCTGGTCCTTTGGCAGCATGGGTGGCCTCCTCCAGGCAGGGACCACACCCTCAGCGGGCAGCCTGGGGCCCATACCCCAGGGCACCTCCCCTTCTAACCCGGAAGGCCCTAAGTGGCCACCCTCCAGCCGGGGCTGGTGGGGAGACTGCAGGTGCGGAGGGCCAGGTGCGGTGACGGCCCTGGGGGCCGTGGGCTCTGTGCTCAGCTGTGTTTGGACGCCAAGCCTCTCCAGTGGCCCTTGAAGGGGGGCTGCGCTTTCATGTCGAGGGATGCTGGAGAGCAGGCCCAGCCCCGCCCCACGACAAGGACGCACCTGGGCCTGCGACACCGCCTGGGCCGTCTTAGAGCAGAGTGCAGGGCAGGTGTGCAGTCGTGTCTCGGCCGAGCGAGCTCCTGGTCGAGCAGTGGCGTGGCTGGCCCCTGACCCTCCCCCGTCCCGGGCAGGACAGCACTTGTTCTGGTCCTGCCATCTGGATGTTCGTCTCCACAAGCGTCCACTGGTTTCGTCTGGTTTTTTTCCTTAACGAAAAACAAACAGACGGGGCCAAGCCCATAGCCTAGTGGTTAAAGGGAGCCAGGTTCTTGGGGGCCAGCAGGTGGCGGTGGTGGAGGTCCCGGACTGGACTCCCACGGAGCGGACTGTGGTTCGAGTCCGGGACCTGGTGGCTTGCTTTCTCACGTTCTCTCTCTGTCTCCGATTCTCTCTGGTGAGTCCACATGCCCTGTAGCAAACTTCAAGTAATAACAGTAAAGAATAAATAATGTAAAAATGGAAAGGGAACTGGGTCTCCCGTGGCCGACCACTCTTGGAATTCCAGCCGGCAGCTTAAAAACCACACCGGGGGCATATGCGTGTCCCAAATTCCAACGTGATGGCAAAAAGGGAGAGAAGGGCTCGAGGTGTGACCACCCCTCACTGGGAAGGCTTTCTTTCTGTTTTTCTCTCTTTTCTCTGTCTCTCTCTGGCAAAGCGGAGCCGTGGGGGGCAGCAGCCGCAGGCTCTGGAGGTACACGCGGCAGCAGGGTTAGGGAGCTGCGGTGTCCTCGGTGTCCTCCGTGTGCCAGTTCCTCTGGGTGCGCCTGCCCGCGGCGCTGTCCTGTGCTCCTGCTGCTGAAGGCCTGGCCTCCCCCTGGGAGCTGCTGCTGGGAAGACCCCGTGTCCCCTCCTGGGTCCCTGATGTGCACGGGTCTGCAGGTCAGAGCCAGGCCCTGGAGTGAGACCTCGGGGCCTGTCAGAGGACCACAGGCTTCCCCCTACAGCTTATACCCCCTCCGCTCCCGCTGGGGACAGGAGCTTTGTGTGGAGCTGAATGCACACTCGCTTACTCAGTGGCGAGCTCTCTCCTGCGGGTTTAGGGAGGAAGCCCGCAGCGGGGAGCGCCTTCCTCATCTCCTGGTCCTGGAGATCCATGGGGTCTGTGGCACGTTGCTTGCCAGTTAGCCTGGTTCCCTGCGTGGTGTCTGCAGGGTCCCACTGTCCAGGTCTGGTTTGGGTGACTGGGTTCCTTCAAAGCAAGCCTCCAGGTCCAGCCCACACCCTCTAGGCAGGAGGAGCGTCCAGGAAGGTGTGGCCCTGTGAGCAGCCACCACAGCTGTCTGTGGGTGTTCAGAGAGACGCTCCGAGGCCCCACGCGCCCCCTCTGTCCCGGAGCTTAGCCCGTGGATTTAGGACCCTCCATGGAGTCTGCCTGCTGCGGTCGTTCCTGGAGGTTTGTCATGGGCATTTTCTATTTTTCTTTTCTTTTTAACATTTGCTACAGGGCACATATGCTCACCAGAGAGAGGGGGGGAAGTGAGAGCTCCCTCAAACTGCAGCTGGCCATGTGGGAGTGCAGCACTTGAGTAGCACGCCACCTGCCGGCCTCCAGATCTGGCTTCTTTCTCTTAACAAAATGCACCTCCGATCCTGCGAGCCTCTGAGCGTATCAGGAGCTGCCCTTTTCTTTGGCTTTCACGTCTTCCAGGAGTGAGGAAGAGATGGAGAGACAGAGAGACAGCACCCCAACAGAGCCTTGGTGCCATGATCCACCCCCAGCCCCAGCTGGCCCCGGGTCGTGGGCACCTGTGTGCCCGGCACGCTCAGGGAGGTCTCTGGAACCAAACCTGCGACCTTCCCCGCGTCAGCCTCTCAGCGGAGCTCGTTAACAGCACACCCCACCCAGCTCCAGGTAGCTGGCTTCTTTCTCGCTGAGTGGTATTCCAGGTGTGGACCGGCCACCCTGTGTCAAAGGTTTGTTCCTGGTTTGGGCTGTTAGGAGCCAAGCTGCCAGAGACATCCTTGCTTGGCTTCGGACTGCATTTAGGTTTGAAGTTCACAGTAGAAGCTACCAGAGAATGGGGCTGCTGGACCATCCAACCGAATTCGCAGAAAGAGAGGGAGGGCGTCTGCTTCAGTGGCTTGGGCAGGGGCAGGGGCAGGAAGGCCACGGGAGGTGGGTCACAGGTGCCACGCCCTCCGTCGGCTGCATTTCCTGGCGTGCCCACCCGGTGTGAATGCCGGGCTAGAGAAGCGCTGCTCCGCTGCTGGTGGGGGAGCAGGCGGGAGGTGCTCCAGGGGTCTCACTCTCTCCTCTTATTTCGGAAGTCAGGGTCGGGACCTGACGCTGCGCCTGTGGGACCTGGCAGAGGGCAGGAACGCCGTGGTGGACTCGGTGCAGCTGCAGAGCATGGGCTTCTGCCGGAGCTCCGTCCTGGCCGGGGGGCAGTCGCGCTGGATGCTGGCCGTGCCGGGGAAGGACAGTGAGGTGAGGACCAGCCCACCCGAGCCCCTTGTCCCACGAGCAGCCACACTCTCTCCCTTCGATGGCGTCTGGTCCTTGTGTCTGTCCCAGGGCGCCATGGGCTGCTGGGGGTGGGTCCAGCACCCTCCCTGGACGCCCCCAAAATGGCCCTGGTGGGGAACCATCCTCTGCAGTGGTGAGACCCAGGAGAAAAGGGGGTCGGGCAGAGACTGCTCGAATGCTCAGAAAAGACTTGATGCAGACCAGGAGGAATGTTCGAGGCCACTGGGAAGCGGTGGGGAGAGACCATGGCCTGGGGGAGTTGGGGTGGGGGCTCCGGCCAGAGCCTCAGAGAGGGTGGCACTTCAAGGAGCAGAACCAGGCACTGGGCACCAGGGTGGGGATCGTAGTCCCGAGGGGACCGGTAAGCAGGGGACCTTGTCCAGAGGACAGCGACCCAGGGGGCGGGACCCTGATGGGACTCTGATCACGGAGCTCAGGTCAGAGCGACCAGAGGTGGTGGTGACATGAGTGTGGTCAGATGGATAGCCATGTCCATGCCCTGGAGCAGAGTCTACCGAGGGAAGGTGTCCCCAGCATACAGGGGCTGGGACATGTGGGGAGTGCAGGGGGGTGTTATAGGGGACCAGGGGGTGCTGAGGCCAGCTCTCGGAGAGAAATCGAAGTTTCCCACAAGTGGAGAGCGGACAGCCTGGCAAGTGTGGACACAAGTGTTCCGATCGGCTGGGGAGGGGGTGTAACGGGAGGGGCGCCTGGCGGGAGCAGGGCCTCCCGTCCCCTGCTGGCTGCAGGCATTGGCAAGACACTCCCTCGGCGGGGCAGGCGGACCGGGCCCTGCACACACAGGTGGGTTTGGCCCCCGCCCAGGAAGCGTCACCTCGTCTTCGAGCAGATCCGATTCATAAATAACGAGATAGAAACAGGCATTTATCTGTTCACGGCTATGTTTAAATCACCAATTAGGAGCTCCGTGCATGCCGCTCGCCAGTTTGCCAAAGCCCTGTAAAAAGTTTTGCTCACGCGGGGAACAGGGCTGTGACTCCTCCTAGGCGCAGGTGCAGACCACGGACACGCCACCCGAGGTCAGGTCAGACACACCCCGTCTTGGCCCCCGGGCCCCCGGCTGGCGTGTGGTCAGCTGCTGCCACCCTCCGGGGCCCCGGTGCCTGTGCTGCGGGCTGTGGCAACCGGCCCCAGGTCTCCCGGCAGGCAGCGTCTGCTGACTCCAGGACCCACCAGGCTGCGGACCTGACCTCGCACGTCTGGGGAAAATGGTCGTCTGTCACCTTTCCCACTGGCGTGTGCCTAGACCAGGCCCTGGAGAGCACCGCTGGCCTGTGCCCAGACAATGCCCGGGGCTCTCGCTCCCACCCCGCTCGGCCGTCTGGGTGGCCGCGCTTGCCCAGACCCGGCATTTTCCCTTCTGGAAACAAAGGTTGCCGTCGGTGCCAGAGGGAGGATGGAAAGCTCACCTGTGTCTGTGGGAGGCTGTGGCGTGGGCCGGAGCAGGGAGCCCCTCCCCAGGCCCCAAGGCCGGGGGCAGGGCCAGGCGGACACGGGCCTGCTGTGCATGGCCTGCCTGCCCCTGCTGTGCCGACACTGGGCTCTGGGGTTCCCGCACCCAGGACGCAGCCGGTGCCACCACCCGTGCCTCCTCCCTGCCAGCTGGGCCTCAGGGCGACCCTGGTTTTTGCCATCACCCTGACACTAGTCCCTGCTCTTCCTGACCTGCCCGAGTCCCCTGGAACCCCTCCTCATTGCCCCTAGAAGGGGTCTTCTTGAATCTGCAGGTGGGGACAAGCCCCATGTCCATGACTGGGGGCTACGAGCAGTCCGTGCAGACTGGGTGCCCAGTGCCCAGGGCCCCGCTGCCTGTGGCCTCCCATGAGTGTGGAGGACAGCACCTGGTGCGTGTGCTCTCCAGAGAGAGAGAGATGAAGTGAGAAATCACCTCCCGGGGGGATGGCCACGCCGCCTCCCTTCTTCTGCATTGCCTTCCTAGGATTTGGGGCACGCACGCACACGTGCCTGGCATGTTTCAAGCTGTCGGTTCCGGGACTTGAACTACAGTGGACCCTGGGGGAGTCTAGTGATGTAACCATGACGCCATCTACTGGTCCCCAGATTGTCCGCTGGCTATGGCGACCAAAGGAACACATCTTTGTTTTCTTTTTTTTTTTTTTTTTTAAAAAGTCTCTCTACCTATTTCTTCTGAGGGAGAGACGGAGAAAGAGGCACCCCCCAGGATCCTGACGCCGTGACCCACCAGCAGCCCCACCTGGCCCGGAGCGCGGGCAGGTGGCTGGGGCGTGCCTGGGACCTTTCCCGGGTCACATTGCCATGGCAGCACACCCGGCCCCCAGACCTGCTAAGAAGCTTTGCACACGTGGTTTTCAGACCTTCTCTTTCTTGTACTCGCTTTCGTTTTGCTGGAGCTTCTCCTGGAGCAGTTTTTTCACAAGGACACCTTGTAAAAAAAATACCTCTCTGTTGCTCTCTCACTCCTGCCATGCTAGCTGGTCTTAGAATCCAAGGCTTACCATCCTTTCCCCAGGACGTGCAGGCTCAGTGCTGTCCCGACTCGGCACTGTACCCCAGCAGCATTTGGGGGGGTTCCGGCAGCTCCTTTTCCTGGCCACCTTCGCGACTAGGAACTTTTCCTGTTACTGAAACTCTTTTCTGTTTCCTCGCCGTCTCACTCTGTGTGTTCTCCTGCGGCCTTGTCTGTCGGGTTCTTGGTTCTCCCCGAGGCCCCTGGTTCCTGGGCCTGCGGTACAGGGAGCCTCTGTGTGTGTGCACACGTGTGCATGTGCATGCCTGTGTGTGCAGGCACATGGCAGAGGCTGCAGGCCTCGCCTTGTGCTGGATGAGACACGGCTGTGAGCTGCCCCGAGATGCAGAGCGGAGGCTTGAGGCTGAGCTGCTGTGGGGCCCCTGGCCAGCGCACCTTGCCGAGAGCACCACACCACGCCCGTCTGTGGAAGCTGGGCAAGTCCGCAGGACCCTAGCCGAGAAGACCAAGCTCTGTTGGGTCTGCCCTGCCGGGAGGCTGCCCTCAACACAACACCCCCAGCATGCACATGACAGACCCGGGATCCAGAACCTCTTCTCTGTGGGCCGGTGTGGGCAGTGTGGTTCTTGTCTGCATGGGCACAGACCTTCAGATGTCACCCCCCAGCCCGGCTCCTAAAGGGTAGGGTGGGGCGGAGGCAGCCGAACCAGCTGGTGTGAGTTCAATCCCCACTCAATGCTCCTAACCTCTGTGGACCTCAGGCTCTTACCCGTGACAGCCAGTCGATGCTGCTGCCACATCCCTGGTAGAGTTGCCGCCCTGGGAACTTGGGGCGTCCAGGACTGACCGAGCCTTCTGAGCCTTTCCCGTTTTGCAGAGCAATGATTGATGGGCAAAGGGAGAGCCATGGGGGCCAGTTAGGTGCCTCTCCCATCCCAGAAGCCTGGGGGCCAGAAAAGCCAGGCTCCAAATGGGACAGCCCTGCAGCACGCACACCTGGCTTGAGTCTCAGCTGCGTGGCCTCTGGTGCGTGCCCCGTGTGACACACCTGACGTCAGACAAAACGGTTTGTGTGCAAAATCTGCACAGAAAAGGAAGTGAGCAGAGGACCAGCAGTTAGCGTCATGGCTATGTCGCTGGACTCCCATGTAGTCGACTGCGGTTCGAGTCCCGGACCCGGTGGCTTAAACTTACGCCGGGCGCTTGTGCGTGCGTGCCCAAGATCCCGAGAGGAGAATGGAGGAGAAGGGATTGCGGTGTGGCCATCCCCCCGGGGGGTGATTTCTCGCTTTCTGTCTCTGGCGTTCTGTCTCTCTGACGAGCGCACGTGCCCAATAGCAAAAACCTCTCCAGATAAATAAATAAATTAAACAAATAAATAAGGGAAGTGGGCAGAGGAGGGCAACCCAGTTAACCCCGTGCTCAGTTCAGAGGGTAACATCGGGGGGGGGGCAGGCTGGCACAACAGTAAAATACAGTGCCCCGTGAGCCATACCCACACGGAAAGGTTCTGGGTTTGCGTCCAAAGACCTCCCTGAGTATGCCAGACTCCTGTGCCCACGATCCGGGGCTGGCTGAGGCTTGAGGTGGATCACAGAGTCAGGGTCCAATGGAGGGTGCTGTCTCTCTTGCTTCTTGGAGAAAATCACCAAAAAAGAAAGAAAGAAAGAAAATACACCCGGAGAGGCCAGAGGCAGCCGCCAGTCCACGCTGGGCCGGTCACCTGGGATGACGTGAGCGTTTCGCAAGCGCCCAGCCTCGCCAGGCCCAGGAGCCCGTGCAGCCTAATTAGCAGGCTCGGCTCCCACATCCCTGCGGGGAGCGGAGCAGACAGAAACTCACGGCAGCCTTGGCTAATCGCCTTAAAAGTCTCTTGTTTGTACAGCACAGCCTGGACTTGGCGGCGGCCCAAATCATCTTGTTTTCTTCCTGTCAGGTTCAGATTCTGGAGATGCCATCCGGGACGTCGGTGTGCACCCTGCAGCCGGAGGCAGGTGCCAAGCTGGGCCTGCCCATGTGCCTGAGGCTGTGGCCGGGA